GGATATTAGCTCAGGGCTGGTCTTCCTCACATAAAAAAAAAAAAGAGTCAGGCGGAGGTAAGAGTTAGGTATAAACCTCAAGTATCCTTTTCTCCTCCACCCTTCCTAAGGACAGTCAGGGTTAATCTAAAGCCTGCTAAGGACACACTTCATCCAGTGTGTGTCCTTCAGCGTGAGGTGAAGAGCCCAGGAAGCTGGACACTATCTGGGCTGCTGCAGGGCTTCTCAATGTGCAAACGAATCATCTGAGACTCTTGTTAAAATGCAGATTCTGATTCAGTAGGTCTGGAGCGGGGCCCAAGATTCTGCACTTCTAACCAGTCTCCACGTGATGGCCAGGTCAGCGGACCACACTGAGGAGCAAAGCTCCAGCATGTGTAGGTCCAGGAGCTAGCTCTTGGTTTTATTAATGTGAGGCTTGTTTCTGTAGTGCCTGCAAAGGAGGCCTGAGGTCTGCAGAAGCTCTTCAGCAAGGATATATTCTCATATTCACTATTTTTATGATATAGAAAAAAATATACTGAAATAAAGCAAATTTTTAAAGATTAGAAGCTATTGCAATATATAAAACAGGAAGGGAGACAGGAGCAAAATGAACCCTGCCTACTCAATCTCCTCCTTCCACCCCCCACCAGTGATGCCCGAAGCTCACTGGAACCAAAGCGTTCCAAGATACATGGTTTAAAACTAATGAAATAAGAAAAAGGGCTGTGTCTCCAGTTGGACTCAGGGAAGAGTCTGGTGAAGGCAGAGAAGAGAACAAGGCATGACTCTTCCACTGCTGTCACCAATCTCAAGCTCTCTTGTTTAGAGTCATCATTTTAGAGGTGAGATATCCTGTACTTTTTATTTTATAGATAAAGAAACTGAAGCCCAATACCTTAGATTTTAGTCCAATCATCCTTCTATACCATTGGCTAATTTCCTTAATTTATTATTGTCCATTTTAAACAAGGGGAAAAAACAGAGGGATTTGAAAGGAAAGGAAAGCAGATATCATTCATATCATGATTCTGATCAACAAACTTGGACATTGAAAATTTCAGGTTTTATCCACTGCTATCCAAAATTCAATTTATTGGATTTTATCCAATATCAGGTTTTATCAGGAAACCCCTCAGATCCAGTCATTCAAAAACCCCTCAACCTCCAAGATCCACCAGCTCTGTTGATGTCTCTCTCTAATTGTTTATTTTCCTTATTACATTCGTTATAATCTCAACTTCCAATCCACCCTGTTCACTGCTCTCTTACTGGACAACTGTTTTTCAACCACAACTACTGACTTACTTTTGCCTCTTTATTGTCTTGGGTAACCTCAGGGATTGCTGAATACTGCCAGTCAAAACTAAGAGATTTATTCTAAGATTTTATTTATTTATTTTTCCCCCAAAGCCCCAGTAGATAGTTCTATGTCACAGCTGCACATCCTTCCAGTTGCTGTATGTGGGACGCGGCCCCAGCATGGCCGGAGAAGCGGTGCGTCGGTGTGCGCCGGGATCTGAACCCGGGCCGTCAGCAGCAGAGCGCGCTCACTTAACCGCTAAGCCATGGGGCCGGCCCGAAATTTATTCTAAATGTCCACGTAGGACTTGGAATTTTATTTCCGAAATTCTTTCTGAGGCAAATTCAGGTGGGTTATTATTGCTTTTAAATTCTCTACACTCTCTTATTGTTAAAGTCTCCAAAACACACAGAATCTTTCTCTAATCTCCAACTAAGAGAATACTGAAGGCTACATACTTAATATATATCCATACGCATTTTTTCCTTTCATCTCATCAACATTTAACTAAGGCAGTATGTTAACGTCTCATTAAATAAAGCTGCGGCTGATTTACAATTTGCAATAAATCAAAAGATGCTGAGCTGAGATTTACCTTCCCTTTACAGGGAAGAACAAGTGCTAAGCAAACAAAGGATGTCAATAAGGTTCAAGTGGTGGTTCACACTAATCCACGGAATAGTCTGAGCATTCAGAAGCGTCATTCACATACTACCGCAATTCCCTTCCATTCTAACTGCTTCTTCAAAACGGATCTCCAAGGACAGAACAAACTAATTAACCCCCTTTGAAGAATAGTATTTATTTTGGT